TGTCTCTCTCAGTGAGACTCTCAGAGCAGGTCCCTCCTTGGAGCACAGGAGAACTGTTCCTGTCTTTTATAGGACTCAGGTTTCTCTTGTAATTATGGAGATGTCCTCATGCATTCCTGTTAATGTTTCTTCAGAAACTCGTGGTTGTCCGTGATGATTTCTGTGTGACTTTGTCCCAGCTTGTTCAGGGGATTAGAGTTAGGATTAAGGGGTGAACTTTAAGAAGACTCCGGACGTGGCAGACGGACGAAAGATACACATATTTGTGTCTCCAAAGTCCAGGTGTCCTAGGAACTGGGAAGTTCAAGACGTGTTTCTCTAATGCTGATTTTTCTCTTTATACTTGCAAGAATATTCCTAAGCTGATGTTCTGAAAATAAATAGCAGATAGTCTTGGTTTTCCTAAATTTTATCATCAGAAATTTATATCCTGAATCATTACATCTTTCAAACGTTATAGTGTGAAACATTGTATCTTTAGAACTTTACATCCAGAAACATTGTGTGTTTAGGACATTATATCCTGAATCATTACATTCTTAAATCTTTCTATCCTGAATTGGCCGTATCAAAGCTTTTCTCGGGTGGATTATTTCTAAAATTTTATGGACAGAACCTGAGAATAAACGTCCCTCATGAATACGATCAGGACAAAAACCCATTTTCTGCTTTGATTTAGCCCCATTTACACGGGGGTATTCATGATGAATGAGTACTGAGTGATGTGAGCAGGACTGTTGTTAGCTCTGGATATGAACGTATTATTTCATGGTTTTCTCCATTGTAAAGATACCCGAGAATTCGTGCAAACGCCCCGGGGAAACCTGCGCTCCTTACATCGTGGGCCATTTTTACTATAACAACAGACGACATAGTATATTTTTTACCATTATTTTCACTCTTATGAACCACGTGAGTATTTCCCCCGATTTACATCGTCAGTAATGATTCAACTTTATTGTTGAACGCCAGGAATGCAACTGGGATCACTGAGTTTAAGGAGTCAGCAGACAGTGAGCACAGTGACTTGCTGGCTCATCCTAACTTAATCCCAGGCAAATGTTCCTCATGTGATTCACACAGGTCTTGGCTTTTTAAAACAACTGATTCCTTGACATTTTCCTAAAATGTATTTTCTTCATATTTCCTGTGTGTCCAGCCCTTCCCAGCCCCACCTGAGCTGTCTGCACATCCACCTTTGAGCTTTGTGGGGTTTTTGGTTTTTTTTTGGTTTTTTGTCTTTTTGAGTCCCTATGGCCCCAGCTGTCCTGGAACTCACTATGTAGACCAGACTGGCCTTGAACTCACAGAGATCCACCTGCCTCTGCCTTCCAAGTGCTGGGATCAAAGGTGTGCACCACCACGCCCGGCGGTATTTTTTTTTTAAGCACTGATTCCAATTTCTGCTGCCTTAATGGTCTTTGTGTACAGAAGGAACTCAGTATAAAGAAACATCGAGGCCCCACCACTGTCCATATTGACCGAGGTCCGACTTTGCGTACTTCCTGACTGGAGTCCCTGGGGAGCAGCTGTGTGCCAGGCTGATCCCGCCATCCTCGGGGTGCGTGTCGCTGGAGCTGGGCACGTGTACAGACTGGTGAGTGTTCTCCTTCGTACAAAAGATCCAGCTGGAGGGCAACATATTGTCATGATTCAAATTTCAATGTACAGCCTTTTTCTGAACACCAGTCAAAATTTAAGGGAGGGTGCGCTGCAGAAAATATCATGTATTTTTTTTAAGCTTGAGTCAGACTGACAGACTCTATCTGTGCCCTGACACCTTTTAATATATTAAAGCATCTTTTTCCTGTTGTTCATATTTTTCCCAATAGTGATCTCTGGAAAACGTACTTTTTTTTCCTGCCCTCATAACACAGGTGACGAAAGGCCGAGGCAGGCTGTGTGAGCCCTCCTTCGGACAGGAAGGCTTTATTGGGGTCACTGTGCTCAACAGATCAGAGTCCATCGTGGCAGGGAGGCATAGCCGGAGCAGAAAGCTGAGTGCTGACGTCTTCAAGCCATCACAGGACGAACAGACTGCGGTGAATTCATTCTACGTTTGGTCTGGCTCATCCTAACATGGCTGTGCTGGGCTTAAAGCGCGTATGTACGTAATACACGCCTGGGCCTTTGACTGTCACTTAGTATGTCTTCAATAATGAAGTAAAATTGTTCTGTGTTGTAGGACAGAGTACTTATTTTGAAATGGCTCTGGTAATAGGTGTTTAATAGAAGTTATACGGTAAGTGCTCTCTGTCGCTGTCATGGAGATCAAAGGGCCAGGAAGGCCCAGGGAGCTGCTAGAAAATCTCTTCAGTTACACACCCTGAAAGGTGCCAAGAGTAAACTGATTTGTCAGGAGGGTTTGTCCTCCGGCCCTTGTTATCCGGTTCAGCAAACACGCCAGCAGGAGGACAGTCCCCTGGACTCTTTGGACGCGAAGACATCTGACCCGGTCATCCTGTGGGCTGCAAGTTCATTCTGCAAATATTGGAACAGTTAAGGTGTGAGAGGGAGCATTTCCCACCGAGACCTTTGAACACTGGCTCCTCCCAGGCCACAGGCTTAAGTAAAAGGTCTCAAAACGGAAAGACATTTTTTTCTGAGGCCTATGAAATAAGTCGAAAATATCTTGAGATTTGGAAGTATAAATAATGTTTTGGAATGGTAAACTCTGTGTTTCTGGTTGAAGGTTTTGAATAAGAATAATTATTTGTGAATACTTAGTAAAAAAAATATTTATTGTTTTTAAATCATTCTAAAAATCCCCAAATAGTGAGGAAACTGTCCAGCAGCTACTGTAACCTAAAGCCATGTACTAAAAACAGAGACATATTAGCATAAAAACCGTGTGAAGGCAGGTTGTCTGTGTCGTAAATTTCAGCCCCTCAGTTGTAATTGCTTCAATACCAGAGGAGATTGAGATGAAAGTGATTTCACCTCTCTGTCTCCATTACAGTAGGCCAGAAGCTGAGAGAGACAGAGAGACAGAGAGAGACAGAGAGACAGAGAGACAGAGAGAGACAGACAGAGACGGAGACAGACAGAGACAGAGAGACAGAGAGAGACAGAGAGACGGAGACAGAGAGAGACAGAGAGACAGAGAGAGACAGAGACAGAGAGACAGAGAGAGACAGAGAGACAGAGATAAGAGAGAGACACAGACATGAGAGACACACAGATGAGAGAGAGACAGAAATGAGAGAGACAGAGATGTGAGCGAGATGGAGACAGAAAGAGACAGAGATGAGAGAGAGACACAGATGAGAGATAGATACAAAGACAGAGACAGAGAGACAGAGATGAGAGACACATGAGAGACACAGATGTGAGAGAGACACAGACATGAGAGAGAGACACAGAGATGAGTGAGAGAGACAGATGACAGAGAGACAGAGATGAGAAAGATAGAGACAGAGAGAGACAGAGATGAGAGAGAGACACAGAGATGAGAGACACAGAGATGAGAGACAGAGACAGAGATGAGAGAGATAGAGACAGATAGAGACAGAGATGAGAGAGACACAGATGAGAGATAGACACAAAGAGAGAGAGACAGAGACAGAGAGAGACAGAGATGAGAGACACAGATGTGAGAGAGACACAGATGAGAGACACACAGAGATGAGAGAGAGATAAGAGAGAGACACAGACATGAGAGAGATACAGAGATGAGTGAGAGAGACAGATGACAGAGAGACAGAGATGAGAGAGACAGAGACAGAGAGACAGAGATGAGAGAGACAGAGATGAGAGAAACAGAGAGACAGAGAGAGAGATGAGAGACACAGATGAGAGAGAGAGATGAGAGAGATAGAGACAGAAAGACAGAGATGAGAGAGACAGAGATGAGAGAGACAGAGATGAGAGAGAGAAACAGAGAGACAGAGACAGAGAGAGACAGTGATGAGAGAGAGACACAGATGAGAGAAAGGGATACAGAGATGAGAGAGATAAGAGAAAGACACAGATATGAGAGCTAGAGAGACAGAGAGGAGAGAGACACAGATGACAGAGAGACACAGAGAGAGACAGAGACAGAGACACAGATGAGAGAGAGATGAGAGAAAGAGAGGGACACAGAGATGAGAGAGACAAAGAGACAGAGATGAGAGAGAGATAGAGACAGAGAGACAGAGATGAGAGAGACAGAGATGAGAGAGAGAAACAGAGAGACAGAGACAGAGAGAGACGGAGATGAGAGAGAGACAGATGAAAGGGATACAGAGATGAGAGAGATAAGAGAGAGACACAGATATGAGAGATAGGGACAGGGAGACAGAGAGGAGAGAGACACAGAGAGAGACAGAGACAGATGAGAGAGAGACAGATGAGAGAAAGAGAGAGACACAGAGATGAGAGAGACAGAGAAGGGGGTAGAGAGCACACTTGGAATTTCCACGAAATGTTGAAATTGATTGATGTGGCATAAAATATGTGGAACAGAATTTAATATTATTTTGAGCAGCAAAGAGTAATCAATGCTGAGCTCCAGGAAAAGGGAAATTAGAGCTAAGGGATCCAGGATAAGAGTTTGCATCATTTTCTTTGTGTAATGAAGCTTGCAAGTGTTTGAAAACAAAATAGTCTAATCTTTACTAGAGGAGGCTAAGCAGAGGGAACTGTGCATTCGGGTATCGGGACGCTTTATGTGAATCCGTTTGTTGTCTTTTTTACCCTCAGTTGAGGGACATGGGGCTGTTGATTGAGGGAGAACTTTCCTTAGGGAATGAGACTTAGGTGAATGATTATTGAAATTCTCTCTAGACAGAGACACTGTTTTTATGTCATTTGTGTGTAAAAAGATAGTAACTAGTTTTAAACTACTCAACTAAAATGCAAATACGAATCTAATTAAGGAGTGCCCTTTGGGAACTGATTTCTTCAGAAATCACCTTCACGTTTTGACAGGACTTGACACCACCTGCTGCGTGCTACTCCGCGCGTCCTAAAGCACAGGCCGTGCTACCCAATCTACGCAGAAATAAAGCACAAACTCAGTCCTAAAGGAACTGCTGGGGCTTAAAAAATTACTACACCATTATCAAAAAACTAGTACCTTCTGATCAATGGAAATTAATTTTTATTGCCTACCAATACCCGCCCTCCTAAACATATATTATTTGGAAAATAACTGAAGGAAATTGAATTTGTGCAAGATGAATTTGTGCAAACTGGAGCTTAACAGGACTCACAGAGCTTGTGTATTAGGGCAAAATTGTGCAGTGGCTGGAAAGATCTTGATGACCTGTAAAAGTTAGGATCTAAATTCCTGTGCTGTGTGACTCAGTTGATGGAGCCTAGAAATCCCCCCCCCCCAGAAAAAATCTCTACAAAAACCTTTTGTTAACAAAAGGCTAACGGTTCAAAATTCACACAATGACATTATCCTGTTGGGATGGCGATAGGCATTTTACATGAATTTAGGAGAAATAAAATTATTTGCACAAGATGTGCATTTCAAAGGGTCCTCCCTACACCTGAGTGCGAGTTTCTGACCACCACTACTTTTTAATGTAACACGTTTACCTGTAATACATTTTATGTATTTTCCTGTAAACTGAACCATACACATGTTGTACATTGTGCTTTTTTGTGTGTGTGTGAGACACAGGCAGTGTGACGCAGTTTTCTTTGGTTGCACTGACTTGGGGACTGTCGGTCATATTGAACATTGAATTGGAAATGACCGCTCTTTTAATTGACTTGGAATGTTTCTAGAGGATGTGCTGTGAAGCGATCTGAACTTTGTCCTATTTTTGTCATGAACTGTACGTCTCCTAGTTATTGTGATATAATAAAATAGTCACGGCGACTATGAAAAGAAAAACACAGTGAATAGCAACCAT